TCATCATGTGCTGGGAACAGCTCCGTAGCACATGCTGGCTTTTTTATTCCTCAAGAACCACACAGGCTTATTCTAAGCATGTCCTGGGCTGTCCACACGGGGCTGGGGTGATGCAAGGTGGGATGAGGCTCCACAGTGCTCTGTAGCAACACAGCGGCTGTCACATGGGTGCAAATGTGGGAGGAAGATGCAGAGATAAAACTTTATTTCTGCAAAATTCCCTGTGGCACAAGGAGGAGGGAGGTCCATGGGCAGTGCCGGGACCAGGAATGGCGGGTTGGATGGGGACTGTATAAACCAGGGAGTCTCAGATCTGGGTGCGGAAGCGCAGGTCAGTGTCCGACATTTTCTGTGCGTAGTCCTGGTCGAAGTGCTCGTTCTGGGCCACAGTGAAGTGGTTCTTCCAGTCGCCAGTGATGCCTGGGGGCAGGTGAGACGGGGATCAGTGGAGTCCATGGGGAACAACGTGCTGGGAGCCCCCCCCGGCCACTCACCTTTGCGCATGAAGGGGGAGGCGCTGTGGTCCATGACCTGAGAGGGCACCATGCTGTAGTTGGTGGTGGGGTTGTCCCGCATGGTCTCGAAGGAGGTGTGTCGGGTGATGGTGTCCAGGGCCGCCTCTGGCAGCTCCTGTCCCAGGAACTGGGCCACCTTGGCAACCTCCCGGCGGAGATCCTGTGGGAAACAGGTCAGTGCTCACCCCTCCTGCCACCCCACAGACTCCTCACACCATCGGCCACAGCCCCTCACCTCCTTCAAGTCCTCATAGAAGAGGTAAAGGATGGGGTGATCCTTCCTCCGCTCCCAGTAGCCCTTGACGTGGTTGTACCAGGAGCCGTATGCCACTGTGTGGAGAGAGCAGCCAGGGGGTCTCAGTGGGTGACACTGCACTGCAGGGTCCCCACATGGACCCGTGAGTGCCTTGTCCCACCTCTGCCGGCCATAAACTCCTCCAGGTACTGGGCCCATGTCCCAGGGTGCGGGTGCAACTTGTTCATCAGGTCAAAGTGGTAGAAGGAAACGGCCACATCCTTGGCATTGCGTGCCACGTAGATCATCTGCAGAGAGCTCAGTGACACGAGGGGCCTTGCAAGGTCCTGGCAGTGCAGATCCCCCCTTATCTCTGCTTGTTCCTGTAGGTGTGTCCCCTCCAGACTGTTACCTTGCACTGGTTTTCCCAGAAGGATTTGGGCAAGATATGAGCTGGGATATGGGTCTTGATGGTACGAGGGGGTGCCATGGCCTCCAGCTGCTCCGTGCCTGCAAAGGAGGTTTGCCCCAGGAGCACTCCCACCACCAGTGGGGTTCCCCCCCCTTCAACCAAGCCTGGCCCACATCCGGCATCCCCTGCCACCCCTGGCCACCCCACTACCTGGCACCATCCTCCCAGGGGTGGCAAACTCCAGCATGGGCACCCGGTTGTTGATGGCATCCTGCTTGCACTTTTCGGGGTCACAGCCTTTCAGGATCATGTCCACAATCTCACTGACCCAGGTGGTGCCTGGTGAGGAAAGGTCAGGCACCCAGTTGGCACCACTCCCACTGGAGCCCCATCTTGAGCACCAGAGGGGCCCCATCTCACTAGCATCCCCCCCATGTCCCAGCTCAGGGGGCTGCAGGCCGGTGCTTCCTCTCCCAGCCCAGCTCCTCCCCAGTGCACAGGGATGCTCACCAGATTTGGGGAAGCTGGCCACCACGATGTCCTCAGGGTGGCTCTGGAACATGTCAACTTTATCCCAGTTGTAAGTGAAGGCATTGACCATGGGGACGCCATGCACCATGCGCCAGGGCTGCCGAAGGTAGGTGTCTGAGTCGGCCATCCTGCTGGGGACAGGGATGCAACGGGGGGGCTGGCCGGCAGCGGAGGGCATCACGGGACAGGAACAATCCCCACAGTCCCTGCTGAGCCCCGCCATCCCAGCCATGGGAAGGGAAACACCCTTGGGGGTGGCACCTGCCTCCCGCAGAGGTCTGGGGGGTAATGGGCAGTGCAGAGAGCATGGAGGAGCACGGCCAGCCCCGGGGGCTCGGGTCAGCACAGGCAGTGGGCAGCTGCCCATACCGTGAAGGAAAAGGTCGCGGGTGCTTTGCTGGCCGCAGTTTCTCGCTGCTTTCCGCTCCCTCCCCGCAGCTTGCTTTCCCCAGCCCCCTATTACACAGCAGCAGGGGGAAGCCCCTCCTGGGGGGCTCCGGAGGTGTTTAAAGGAGATGGGAACGGGGAGCAGGGCTGACAGGAGTCTCGCCGGGAATCCTCCCCATCGCCGGCCGTCCCCGCTCAGTGCTCCCTGCAGAGCAGCTCTGCGGCTGGCCTCCGTCTCCAAGGGGACACCGACCCCATACGAGCCCCTCATTCCACTCCCCTCGCAGGCCAGCCTGGGGCACCCTAAAGCGGTGACAGCGGCCAGAGTGTCCCCGTTACCTGCCTCTTCTCCGGGCGCTCTGGCGGGGGGGAGGCGAAGCTTCGCTCCCAGCCTGGGGGGGCCGGATTTGTTATTCTTCCTTCCCCGTGTGGAAGATGGAGGAGCGGGGAGGCGCCTGGGGCTGCGGGAGGCGGAGGCCATCGTTAGGGAAGGGACGCGGAGAGAGCCGGCCCCGGCGGTGCGGAGCGGGGAGTGCAGAGAGAGAGCAGGGATGGGAACGCAGCCCCGCTGGGGATGGTGCCAGGAGCCTGCGATGAGCTGCGCCGGGCTCAGTTCCCGCTCCTCCCCCGGCTAAACACACAGACGGCAGCGGGGGAAACCACAACTCCCTCCCACCGCAGAGGCAAATCCCAACCCAGGTCCCAGGGGGGTTAAACATCACCCTGTTGCGATCCGGGGATCAGCCCGTGGATGTGTCCAGCTCTTGGCACTGGGGCCGGGCTCTCGAGCAGGGTTAGGCTCTGGTCACTCACCGCCCCTTCAAGATATGCAAATACGGGTCCAAAGTTTGCAGAGTTGCGGGGCGCTGGTGCAGCTGATATCGTGCTACTGGGAGAAGGGTTTTAAAGGCCGCCGTGGTGGTAAAATGCTGACGTTTACCTGTTTTCCACGGGCAAACGTGAGCCGGGAGGGAGTGGGTAAGGCAGGAGAGAGGGCAGCAGGGCAGGGGAGCAGCCTGCCTGGTGGCAACCTTGAGAAAGAGGTCCCTGATTTGTCCCCGGGGCCAAGCTCCCGGTGAGGCAAGTGTCACAGGCGAGTGATGCACTTCACTGTGAAGAGAGAAGCAGCAATCTGGTTATTGATATAAAACAGAGGTTTAACAAAGTTTGGTAGTAAATGTGACTGTGGTTTAGCAAGATTTGGTGGCAAGGTACACCTGAGTATTTACTGCACAGAGGACAGGGTCAGGCAAAACTGTCAGAGGGACCCTCCTGTTGAGTCATGAGGTTCAGAAAAGACCCCCTCACTTTCTGAACAACTCAGAGGAGAGTTTGGGCTGCAGAGGGATCCATTCCTAGTCCCAGACTTGGTCATTTATGTCTAAAGGATTCTATACGTACAACCAATCCTGTTTGTCACTTGGCTAAGATTTCATGTTTATCATCCTATTAATCACTACAAGAACCTGTTGCAGGAAGGGATTCCTCCTCAAGGAGTAGACTTGAGAAGTCCCTACTCGAGGGGAGATCCTAGCGCACAGCCCACTGCCATGCAGGGGAGCTCAACAGGCCCTGGGCTGTCCACTGGTTATGGAGTCAGATAATTGATTTGTAGCCATATCTGTGTATTGACTACAGAAGTTAGTTTCCTCCAGACCTGGTTTGAGTCAGACCTTGATCAGCACTATGGTTAGGTGGGTGCGTTGTTCAGATTAGCCTTTGGCTATTGTGTTATCTGTCTCCCTTGAATCCACTTTGAGTCAGATGCAGCCCTCATGATCAGACACATCCATTACGACCTCCACTGGTGGTTATCACTTGAGCAGGTTGAGGGGAGCACAGCAGCACAGCCGGGACATGCCAGTCAGGCATCCAGGATGTGCCTTCCCTGCCCATCACAAACCGGCTGCGTGTGCAAACCTCACAGGCAAAGCTGGGAGCTGGGGAAGCACAGACATCTCCATCGGCATCGAAATACATGGGGAGGGTTTATTCCTATGGGGGAGTGCCCTTCGTAGTTGTGCTGCTGTTTAGGAGTCAGATCCAGATTTCATCTCTTTGGCAATGAAAACAACCCCGTGAGACTGCCTTGCCAAAAAACTACGATCTTGGAAACTCAGGCTGGAAATGGTGCATAACTAGGGAATTTGGGGCTGGAAATGGTGCATAACTAGGGAATCTGGGGCTCCAAAGCAAAGCCGTGTTCCCTGTGGGATGGGACTGTATTTCTCCAGCCAGCCCCGAGCAAGGGCTCAGTGCAGCTGGCAAGTTGCCCAGCTGGCAAGGGCAGCGATCCTGCTGAGCACACAATGTGCAGCAGGGAGGCGTTTCCCTTCGCCTTTGCTCTGCAAACCACCGGGAGCCCGGGTGAGCCCCACCACCGCCCGCTCTGTCAAGAAACCTCTCACGACCCCACAGGCACGAAAGCTCCTGCGCACACAAGAGCCACTGCTGGCTAAAATCCACTGCATGTGCCCACGTAATCGGGGGGGGGGGGGGGGGGAGCTGCTGCTGGGATTCAATCCCAACTGCTGGATTGAATCCAGGGATTCAGGGCACTCAGCCCCACCACGTTTCCCTGCTGGCAATGGCTCACTCTCCAGTTACTCCAATTTACTGCTGTGGGGAAAGAGAATTGGTGCAAGGATGCTCCATCTGGGCCTGCCCCTCCCTGCAGGGGGGTGGGGGTGGGTAAAAGAGCAGCCCCACCAGGAAAAGGGATGAGCTCCCCATCTGAAAGAGGACATCGGACCCTACCATTGCCCCCAGTAATGCTGGGCTGTTCTGTACCACAGTGAAGTGGTCCTTCCAGTTCCCAGAGATCCCTGAAGGCAAGAAAGTGTGTGGGGCAAATCCTGACACCCCTGGAACATGTGTAGCTATGGGTGAGGGCTGCAGTGCAGCTCAGGAACATCCCCTCTCAAGCCCTCCACCACTGGTTAAAACACACCTTTCCAGAGAAGTTTGAGAGGCTGTGGTCCATAAGGGCAGCGCACATGGCCTCATAGTTGGCAGCAGGTTTTTTCCTCATATGCCCAAAGGACATGTAGTGGAGGATCCTCACCACCATCCCTTGCACCACCCCCTTCCCCAGGAACCACAGGAACTTCTGCACCTCCCATCGTGGGTCCTGTCGGGCAGCTGATATGGGGAGGCTGCCCACCCTCATCTTCTTCATGTCCTCACAGAAGAGGGAGGGGAGCTGCTTGTTCTGCTTCTTCTCCCACCATCCCCACACATGCTTATACCAGGACCCATAGGCTACTGTGGGAAGTGGTCAAGAGGTTTCAGCCTCCATCTCTGCCAGCCATGAAGGTCTCCAGGAACTCTCTCAGTGTGCCAGGGTCAGGAGCATCTTAGACATCTGGTAGAAGTAGCAGGAGGAGATGACAACATCCTTGGGTCATGTAGATGACAGCCGAGGGAATGTGGATGTGTGGTTCAGAGCAGTGCCCCTCCCTGACACTCACACAGAGAAGTGGGCAGCACCCGTAGCATCCCCTTGCAGTCCTTGTCCTGGAAGGAGGCCAGGAGCAGCTGAACTGGGAGTTGGGTCTTCACTACCCAAGGGGAAGCAGCTCGATGCTTATGGGACGGGGAGCTTAGCGCTGCATCCCCAGCACCCGGCTCAGCGCCATTGCCACCCGGAGGTGTTGCCGGTGCCCCATCCCTGCCGCCGGCAGTCCCTGCTCCGGGAGCCCCAGCACCTCCGCTCCTCCCCAAGAGGCAGCGGGTATGTCGTGGTTTAAGCCCAGCCGGTAACGCTGAAGCCAGGACAGGGTAAGAAAAGCCGGCTCTGCCAAGGGCACTGCGAGCCGGTGACAGGTTTAACGGGACGGCAGCCGAGGCAGGGGGGGGTTTGCGGCGGGCACCCCAGCGGAGGCTCGGAGGGGAGCGGCGGCCACTACGCTTTACCCTCTCACAGCGCCAGGCGGCGCCATTGTCACAGGAACGGAGCGGTGCGTGCGGCTAGCGGGGCCTAGCGGACACCCGGTCCTGGGCGTGCTGTGGGCCGGGAGCAGGGCGCCGCTGGGCTTCGGGGTCCCGGGCCGGGAAAACGGGGAAAACCAGGGAAAACTGAGGGAACCCGAAGCGGTTCCTTCCTTCTCCCTATCTCGCTGGATCCGGTGTGGGAGCGGGGCTCCGGCCACTGCCCGTTCGGTGCTGCCTGGAGCTCCGGCCCGTGCCTTCCTGCAGGCAGATTGGGGGGGGGGGGGGGGGGGGGATCGGTGCGGCTGCCGATTCCCACCACGGGATCAGCCCCAGCTCCATCACGGCAGCGGCTCCCGGTCCTAGCTCCCAGCCGTATCCACAGGGGGAGAGGAAGACCCGGCGGGGCTGTCGGTGACCCCTCCTGCCACCGGGCTCCCTTTTCCCCGTGCAGGCACCGGCTGGTTTCTTCTGCCCAGCAAGGGGAGTCACACATGGGGTAACAGAGACGGGAGATCAACGGGTGTGTGCGTACGTTATTTGCAAGAGAAGACTGATCTCCATCTCTCTCTTCTCTCTTCCTCCAGAATGGCTTCTGTCCCACCCTATCATCTAACACAGCCCCTTCCTCCCCATTACCTGCCTGTCACCGCACTTTATCTCTCCCAATACTCCCTTTTTTCCTCAAGAGTCACCTGAGGAATGACAGATCACTGCCTTCTCCATACCTTGTCTTCACACAAATGATTTGTTCCCCTTAGTAGCACGTAATTTAATAACCACATGTAGCTTTAAAAGCAATTTATAGTTACAGGCAAGAACTAAATGTCCTTCCTTCTCCTCACAGAAGTCTGTATCATCACAGACTTGTGTTTTACCCTGCAGTGTTGCATTTCAATGCATTAACAGCAAGTCGCTCCTGAAATCAGAGAGGGGTGGGACAGGGTCAGAGTTTCCAGGGTAAACTTCTCCTCCCTCCCAAGGCAGTACCCCCTGAAGAGCCAGGGCAGACCCGGGTCCCACCAGCACAGCCCCTGTGCTTCCAGTGCGACCTCTGAGAGGCTCAGAGCTGCTCCCTTGCCCAGGGCTTCCCGTTTGCCCTGTGGCTCTCAGTGGCAAAACTGCATCAGGGCGGAACAGCCGCGGGCTTCGAAGAGTAACTGTGTGGAAAATGTAAATGGCAGCTTTGTGTGCCTGGCACGACTCGTAACAGCTTCCTTCCCACTTGCGAGAACAGCCTTTTCCCGGGGAAAGCCATCGGTGCAATTAACAAATATACATGTTGTATAAACATTTGTTGCATAAAAACTCCAATGTTTTTGTTTCCCCAAAATTGTTCAAAACCTGCAAACAGAGTAAATTAGGTCTTATGGTTAGAAAAACTCCTTTCTGAGAGTGGCCAGGTTTGTCTGGGTAGACAGTCTTGTGTGTTAACCTATAGAAGCCCCACCCCTCTTCCACCACACTGATCTTTGGTAATTCCCTAACTAACTGTGATATAGGAAGATGATTCTCATTATGCCTAGATCAAGAAGTATCTGTATTTAATTCTAGCAGGGAAAAACCCTTTTCTTTGAAAGCAGAGCCATGCAGCCCCAAACTGTGTTCAGCAACCACCACTGTACCACACTATTTTTCCTTCCTGTCATCCCCATCCATTTGTACTTGCTGTAAGATAACTGCTGCCTCCTCCAGCAAAATCAGGGACCCTCAAAGCAAGTCAGTTCAGCTACAAGCAATTTCAAGGTGGTTCATGTTGTGGGAGACTTCACTGGCTTTGTTCTTTCGTGTGTTATATGCAAGCCTTATACAGAATCTATGCTAAATAAGACACAAGCAGGTCCAGTTCCAACTTCAGAGGGCCCTTATACAGTCACGTTTCCTTTCTGTTATGACCAAACCAGGAGTTTTCCTTCCATCTGAAAAAGCAAATGGTAGGCTGAAGCAAAACTAAATAGAAGGACAGGAATGAATCACTCCCTTATTTAGAACAGGATGAGGGTTTAAAAAAACCCAACCAACCAACAACAAAACAAATAAACCACCAACCAACAAAGGCTAAAGCCCAGAGGATATTTTGGTAGTGACCTTCCCAATGCAGCTGCTCACATACAAATGTTTTCTAACAAACAAAAGCATCTTATGAACCAATGTGTTATGAACCAATGTTATGAACCAGGTTAGCCCCTGAAGACTTGTGTGCTGACAGCAAGGTATGGGGAGTGCTTACCTTTGGCCATGCTGATTTAAGGTGGGTTTGGTTGTTCTGCTTTGCTACAACTTCTGCAAAAAATCAGCAAGCCCTTCCCTAAATAATGTCAGGGAGGTGGTGGCACTGGAGTGGCTGGAATTGAAGAAATACAGCAAAACCTGAGCAAAATATCTCCTCAGTGCTGCAGGCCTTAGTTTGGCAAGGGAAAGGAAATTCAGCTGCACTCTTGTGGCCCATCCTCTCGGCCAGGGAAAATAACTCCTGAGGGTGCCTCTGCAGCCACTTCTTGCTGAGCAGAAGACTGGCTCTAGGAGGAAACTCTTGATTTGAAGCAATGTACTCCCACTGTTTTCTGCACAACTTGGTCTAATTTGCTTTTTATGGGGAAAGCTACTTCATGACAGTGGAAATGCTCTTAGCTCATCAGGCTGCACCCTGAGGCACCTTTTCTTGTGTTCTCTTTTCTTCTCATCTCTGAGTTTCTTGGGTTATTTTTAAAGTTACTGCCACATTTACAGCAGAGATGCGTGCAGCAGCTTGAAGAACCTCCCAGAAAACCAGCTCAAGAACCACCATTCAGCTTGTCCACTATTTCATTTTATGCCCTCCTATTTGATTTATTGGTGTGAATCGTATCATATGCCTGTGTAAGTAGGTTTGTTTGTTATTTTCTTGGAGAACCTTTCCCTCTACTGGCAGCATTGATGGTGAGGACCAGGAGAAGGATGCCAGATGAGGGTGTCCTGTGAGCCTGTTGGTGGTCAAAGTGTCCCCTGCTGCACATGTGAGCAGGAACTCATGCCAGCTCTTCTCAAAGCCATCGCATTTGTATGCGTATTCATGGACTTATGTTTCCTCTGTTAATAGTAGATCATTTACAGGAACACAGAGAGGAGGCTGCTCTCCAGCAGGTGATTTAAATGCTGCCTGACCTTGCTTTCTGAATTGCATTTACCCATATGGCTTTCAAGCCAAGTATCTCATATACAAGTGGTAGAGCTTCAAAAGGCTTGTTTTGGCTTCCCACCTCCCCCCACTCAATCTTTTGCTACTTCTGGCTACTCTTGTTGCCTATTCCTGCACACAACCAGCTCATATTGATCACTCTCATGGAAAAAATGCAAGCAGTAGAAAGTTTAACAAGAGTCCTACCAGAGTTTCCCTACAGCTGGGGAAAGAAACACTGCTTCACTACCACAGCTTTGCTCACTGCAAATTCTAACTCTGCAAAATAAACCACTCTAGGCCATGTCCAATATCTCCCATGCAGCCAAGGGGTGAAGAGGAAGGCTGATGTAATGGTGAGGTGGATTGAAGCTGCTCACTGTTGTATGAAGAGGCAGGGTGCACAACTTGAGCTCATACTCTGCGCTCACAGCCAGTTCCAGCCGCCCCTGCCAGCCAGAGCTGCATATGGCCCCTCCTTAGCAGTAGAAAGGACAACCTTACAGGATGATTTTTGGCCACCCTCTTTTCTGAGCACCCCTCTAACTAGTGAACTGTGACTGTCCTGAAGAGTTGCTGGGGAAAAAGTAATCCTGATCCAGAGCCAGAAGACATAGCCTGACCACCTGACTGGCCTTCCCCCTCCCAAGCAACTTAATGAGTGCCCTCCGCTTAACAAAACCACTTCGCATTTAACCCACACAAACCACAAATGATGCTTTCGCACCTGAAGGGAGTAAAAGCATTTCACCTCCACATATGCTACAAGTCTCTTTTGTTACAAGCGCCCTCGACTTTAGGTATTGTAATTAATTTCTGTTGGCCCATGGAAGATATCTCTCCTGGACCACCAAGCTCAGACTATGGCCAGAGCTACCATCCACTTCAGTTACTCTTAGGATAACTGAAGATTCACAAAGGATGCAACCCTGATGGTTTCTCCAAACAAAAACCTACATGGGCTCAAACAAAGAGATAGTTGTGTCACCTACAACCACAGCAACATCAAATACCTTCCGAACACATCAGTTTACCTAAAATAAGCCCCCAAATTTGTGTCCTTCCTACTGTCTGTGTTGAACAGATCTTAAAACATACACAAATAAAAGCTTAATGGACATATTTCTGCTTAAAGGCACTTTTCTGACACCCTGATCTGTGCAAACCGCTTCTCTTTCAAGTAATGCTCAGGAGGAGGAGGCACTGAAAAAGCAGCCCTCCAGCTGTTGTACTTTGAACAGACAGCTCAGGTACCCTATGGGAAGAGGGATTGCTCATCAACACCATCTCAACAAAAGTTCTTCCCTTTCTACAGCTGCAACCTCCCATGGCTTAAGGACAGCCCAAGCCCCTTTGGCTACTGATTTGGAACAATTCAGAAAATATTGTCCAGATGAGATTACTTCACCAAAACCCCTTTACTTTCTTTTTTTTCAATCAAGAAAGCCATTTGTTTAAACAAAAGCAATACAGATTTGGAACAGCAGCCCCATACTTCTGGAATTGTTAACATTTTTATTAGGGAAAATATAAAGTAACCAGAGAAACAAAACAGAAATGAGAAAGTTCATACCCAACTCCTGCTCACTGCTCCTTCTCAGGGACTCCTGGCCCCTGCTGCAGTTAATACCGTGTTGGAACCACAGTCTGCCCTGTCCATGCCTTGAGGTTCTTGAGGGGCTCTTTGCCTCCTTACCTACAGCTCCTCCAGCTGCTCCAAGCTCTTTCGAGCTCTCCCTGCTGAAAGTGCACAGGGATGTCACTACAATGGGGCTCTGTCTCCACCAGTTTTAGGACAAGCCATGTTCAGAAGTGGGGAGATACCTGCTTGAGAGCCTGCCTGATCCTGGCATGGGAGTGAGAAGGGGGAAGATGGACCAACACAGCAGGTATTGTCCTGCCAGATTGACTTCCTGAAGGTTGCTGTTGTGCTGGCGCATTTCAATTAATTACATGTGCTCTGTATGTGTACTCCTTGGAAAGCTTGAGTATTGCATTCACTGGCTCTCCTACTACCTCTTTCTGTTATTTCGTTTTATTTGGCAGAAGTCAGGCAGTCGTACTCTGAAGGTGAATGTGCTCCAAATACTTTACTTCCAGCAACTTGAGTCCCTAAGGATCTAGCCTTTCTCCTGTAAGATGTTTAATTGGTTTGACTTCAGGATTTAATACATATCATCATTTCACTCCAGTACAGGTCCTTCTGCCATGTCTGTGCTCTTTGTACCTCAACATAACTGCCCCAACAACCTCCTTCCTCCCACCTACTGTGCTATGTCCTGGTGTACTCATTCCTTAGGCTCTTAGGACTTGTGCAGACACACATGAGTAATCCTACTAGCTTTCTTTGTAGCCTGCTGGCAATATTTACCAAGAGTTTGTCCAGAAAGCCCCTGCCACCCCTGGCCAGCCAGCCATCCTGCTCTGGTATTGCGCTTCATATGTGGCTGTCGGCCTCCCTTGTCACAAAAGTGCTGCCAATCAACCTTCTGATCTCCCCGACTTTATCCAGATAAGATAAGGAGAAGAGCTGGTTCAAAGGTCCACATTTTTATTTTCTCATTCGACATCTTCTCAACTGACAGGAGAGCTCTGAGTTTTTCAGTGAAATTCCTCTTGTAAATACAAATCCATGAAGCATAGCTGAGTGGGTGTTAATACCTTGCTAGCATGCACCAAACATGACCTGTCATCCTGGGCAGGATCAGGGGTGCTCCTTCTCCCCATCCGCTTTGTCCTGTCATACAGGGATGCCCCATGCCAGGCTCACTGTGTGGTCAAGGTGCATCAGCAACACGTGTCAGGCCAGGAGCTGCCTCAGTTCCTCAGTGGCTGACTATCCAAGTCATCTTTCTTCAAACCAGCTGCACTATTTGTGCTCCCTTGACTTGTCTTTAATGGACAGGAGCACCCCAAAATTCTTACTCCCACCTCAAAAGCAGAGCTGAAAGCCCTCCCCATATCTCTTTGGTGAAACAAGGCAGGCTGGGCTTTTGATCATCAAAGTCTTCCCCTTTGGAAGGAGGAGGAGCCGTCTAGTCATGGGTTCATTGATTCCTTGCCCAGCAGGAATGTTTGCTTGGGCACAGCCAAGCCGCACCTCTGATGACTGTAACAGGCAGCGCTCTCTCTCTTTTGATATACTATCAGCTGGGTTTATCAGAGTATCAACAACCACCGCATTCAAGGACTCGTCCCTCTGGTCAGCTCTCCCTGCAGAGCGGACAGGGGCTGCGTGGGAGCTGAGCTCACCTTTTATTTCAAGGAATCTTAACAGCAGGTTTTAAGCTGCGTATTTACCTTTTTGGTCTGTGCAGGAAGTCTGAGCTAAAAAAAAAAAGACATAAGTATAATTACTCTGGCACGCCTGCATTCCTGCTCCAGGCTCAGGCGGGGAGAGACTCTTTCTTGTCGGAGCCAGGAAGAGGAGCTGATCCCTGGAGATCATTGACTCAAACGTGTGTAACTGAAACCTGCAGCCATGCTGAAACAGATACTATCGGAGATGTACATTGATCCTGACCTGCTGGCAGAACTCAGTGAGGAGCAGAAGCAGATCCTCTTCTTCAAGATGCGGCAGGAACAGATCAGACGGTGGGAAGAAAGAGAAGCTGCTATGGACAAGGCTTCAGCAAAGAAACCACTGCCAAGAAAAGGTAAGTCTTTGCCTGCTAGCTGCTTCTCCATCTGCCACAGATCTGGCCAAGTCAATTGCTCCCTAGAAATTAGGAGATAATTTCCTTAGAGGAATTTCTTCCTTCAGGGATATATAGTAGTCATATTTCCAAACCGTAACAAGTTGGGTTTACAACTGCAATGGGCCAGTTTTGACCAGGCAAACAACAGTGTTAGTCCTTGGCCCAGACATTCTGTCCTTCACCAAATTGCTCAACAACTCTAGCTGGAAAGACAGAACTTACTTGGCCCCAGGAGGTGCATCTCATTAAGTGTCCCACTAAATGGGGCCTCTGAATCTGCCCATTAAATAACCATGGACTTGAACATCCATCCTGGGGCACCAGATGTGCAAGGGGGTTCCCTTTATGCCTTTAGACCTGAAGTCCCCTTGCCAGGATTACACAG